ATGGGTCGATTTCGAGCACATGCTCGTTGAGGAGGTCCTGTGAAATGTCCTGCGTATCGCCCGCCGGCACAGCTAACCGAAACTCGAACCATCCCTTGTGGTAAGCGGTCAGACGAACGGTGACGGCCATCGTGCCTCCGCTGACAAAGGTGCCTCTGGCCTCGGTGGGGCCGTAGAGCGATCCGGCCGAGAAGTGGTTGGCGAGCGTACCACCACACAGGTCGCGGGTGCCTGGGTTGGCGTGGCTCGGGTTGCGGCCGCCGGCGGACAGGCTCTGGGCGTTGCCTATCCCAGGGCCGTAGCTGCCTCCGCTCATACCCATCCACATGGTCCATGTCTGGCCTGGAATGGGTCCATTGCGGCGCTGTCGCGGTGCCGGGCACGTCAGGAAGCCGTGAGCGGCCGCGCCGGCCGCGAGGCAGAGCGAGAGGAAGGGAGCTCGGGAACCAGGCATGTACATGCTTGCTTTTTGCAACGGCCGCTGTGTTGGTGATCTCGGTCATATCTCGGTGACACGCTCACCAATGTGCGCGCTCAGGTGAGTTTATTTTTTGTGTGTGTAGCTCTGTAAGGGTCCGCCCGCAGGCGCATTTTGTATACCGAGGCGGTGCCCGGTGCCGAGCGCAGGCAGAGCCCACACACAGGTCGGACCTTGCTTGAGACAGCGTTGTAGATCCCTGGGCGAGGGTGGTGGTGTCCCCGTCGGGAGGGGGCTAAGAGGTGTTCGCTTTCCACCCACTGTGATTTTGTGTGAACACTGTGTCTTCCTTGCCAACAACAAACCTAACACCAACTCTCTCTTGACGCCCTCACAACGGAAACTCGTACTAACTAGATAGATAGATATATACTAACTGTAGTGCGCGTCGGGCTGATGGTTCGACACCGAGTTTGAAACGTCCGTTTCTCCCGCTACACAAAGCCGGAGTACTTCGATCTGGTTGGCGGCACGACAGGCAGGCCCCCGGAGATCGAGGTGGGCGAGGAGTTCGCCGTCGCCGTGCCGCGCTTCCCCCTCCTCGTCGGCATGGCGGACGAGTACCTCTTCTGAGGGGTGCGCCTCTTCTGAGGCGCGGCGCCTCTCCGTCGGGGGTGGTCTCGGGTCATCTCGGATGATCTCGGGGCATCTCGGGCGCGCGCCGCGCCTGAAGCCGGCCGAGGTAGGAGGGTAGGGAGGGGGCACGGATGGGGGGGAGGGGGCTTTAGAGCGGGTTGTGCCGCGCGGGAGGGACGCACGCTGCCGCGCCCTTGGGGCTTAGTTTGGAGCCGTCTCGTCTGCGGCGACCCTAGAGGCATGGAGATTGCGGTGGGGTGCGAGAGTTGTTTCCGCGCGAATGCATAAATACACCAATCCTCGCTACCCAACGCGGCCAAAGGATATCCACCTCGAGAACCTCGAGAGATAAATACCAAAAGAAAGAAAAAAGAAAGCAAAAGCCGAGCTCACGACCCCACGTCCCATCCTCG